TTGGCAGTAATTTCAGGTGGAACAGCACCAGCAGCGTGGGCTGACACCTCTGCCAGGAGACAAGCTAGAGGTGAGCAGAGGACTCAACACAAGTAACACGTCCTCCCTTATTACAGGATCCGACTAAAGCCCACTGAAGCTGAAGAAATCATCCTCTGATTTCAAACAGCTTTGGAACAACCACTGAGGAAACTGTGGTCGTGCTGGGACATGTGACGCTATTTCAGAGTCGGGTTTATCAGCGATGGTTGTCTTAAACAGCACCCTGAGCCTGCTGCAGCAGGTGTACTCACTCCTTACTACCTTCTGCATCAACCCAGGCTCTCGGTGGTCATAATCCACTTCAAACCCACTCTGGGGGACTATAAATGAGTGGTCAGGCTGGAGTTTTAGGAAGGAACATACTTTCGAGCTTGCTGCAACAAGTCCTCCTTCCGCTGAACCAACATACGCTGCCTTTCATCAGCTGACTTTGAAAAGCGACTTCCCCTGGCCTCAAAATCTTCGGCTTCACTAGGCTCCGTGTCCATTTCACTGAATTCCACCATGTCTTCCAGTCTTGAGTTGAGTTCAAGCGGCACTCTCTCAGTCTAAGAGAAAAGGAAAAAAGTCATAAGTGTTTGCAAATTTGCTAACAGGGCTTCTTTGTATCAAATCAGCGAGCTACAAAGAGCTGTCCTTTTCTGAGGCATGGGAAGAAACTCGACTCTCACCTGCTGCACCCAGTTCCCTTGGGCTCCTTTGAAAAACCCAGCCAAAATACAGAACAAAGCTATTTCAAAACGTGTTCAAAGAGCCTGTATTCTACAACGCTGTAGCTTTTATGCCATGTTTGAAAGTAATCTCAAAGACAAATATTAGTCATAATTAATGCTCTGTGAAAACTGGGCATTTGAAACAATCAGATTGTGCAGCTGATTTGACAAGCAATGCAACAGTAAAGAGTTTAAAAAGCTGAAATCCACCTACTGAGGAAAGAATAGCAAATGTATTTGCAAGAAGGATGTGCTTGAGAAGGCAATTTATGAGGCTTCGGTTCACCACGTTCTGCAGCACCCAAGTGATGGTGTACTCGGGCTGCCAGAGCAAGGCTGGCAGCTGTCCCAAGCACGGCGTGTCGATAAGCGAAGCTGGCAGCCCCGCACTTAGTACCTCCTCACCCCTGACAGCCGGCCGACAACGCTAACGTGAAAACAAAGCTGATGAATGATGACGCTGATGAACTACCATAGGTGCAACAGTGTATCCTGATCACATCCCGTCATATTCCATCAGAGCAGCTCTGCGATGGGAAAGCAAGATGTTACCAAGCGCGGTAGCATCAGGAAACAAATCACCTCAATGAAGGGCTTAAGGGCCGAGCCACCATTTGGTATCCCAGAGGATTACTCAGACAAGTAGGATGCAGCAGAGAGGCGTTAGCCAGTCGGCTCCTCAGTTTTGCCTTGTTTTGGGCCTGTGGTATAGGCACTGCAGAAGCCCCAACAGCGGGTGGCGTGGGCACTGGGGGGGACCGCTGCCCACATCCCAGCAGCCGGGCTGAGCAGCACACAGCCTGCACCGCGCGGGTTCCAGCAGCTGATGTGCAGAACAAGTTGAGTCACTCCAAAGCCCTGGAGACATACCGGTAACACCATCTCCCTGACACAACACCTTCAGAGAGCGAAAACCAAGACAAACATCCCTTCCCATCAACAAGGTGATCCAAGCAGGAAACCAGAGCAGCACGAACACCGCAACCTCAAACATGAGTACCTCCTGTTACAAAGATGGGAAAACCACCACCCTGAGCCCATTCCTCTGTCTGAGCACAAGAGTGGTTATTGAGGAGGTCTTAGAGACAAAAATATCACAACTCCTTGCAGTAACGGTGATGACAAGCCTCAGTATGAAAGCAGATCTCACACGCAGAACCCTGTAACACTACAGAAACTAATCCTCCTGCAGGCTCCAAGAAAAAAAAGAATTAGTTTCATGAAAGCCATGGGATGCCTCAGAAGTGTCTCTCAGAGTCACCAAGGAGTTAGGCAATGACAATAGCTGGATTCTCAAGGAGGGAGGCAAGAGCTGCACCAGGCAAGCTTCAACTTTATAACGACAGCTTACTAGCTAGGTCTGAGTGGTCCTACCCAATCTCCCCCCGGGATTACAGAAACAGATAAACACACAAAAAATTTAAAGGATAATCTTTAAATACATTTTAGCCCATGAAAATACAAGCTTGCAGAAAGCAGCTATAGCTGCTCAGGGATCTGTTCTTCTAGGGAGTAACAGCAGAGTAAGGAAAGAGAGGAGGAAGGGCAAACATGACCGGGAGGGAGGGAGAGCGAGCCTGTGGAGCGTCATGCACACTGCTGGAAGCATGAGCATCTCAACGCACAATGGCAGGAAAGCAGCCGCACAGCATCTTCCGGAGCACACAGGCCAGGACCGTCAGAAGCCATCGATGTTTAGAGCATTATCTCACAAACCTTTATCACGATTTACATCATGATGGTGCTCAGAGATGTCTCTAAACCACCCTTAGCACTGACACCCCAAACCCATAAACTACATTGGGGCGGGGGGGGGAAATCAGTCATTATCTCTATCTTTAGACCCTTGAACTCCATAATTAAGTCATAATGTGACGTACGGCACGGAGGAAAACCAACACTACTTGTGAAGCAGGGTGCTTTTCCTTGAGCACATTAGTTCCTCCTTTATTTCCAACAAGCAGAACTCCAATGGGTTTGCCAGTTGCTGCTGGAGATCTACAAAGATTCTCAGTGGACATGTTGATTTAAAAAAAGAAGGAAAGAGATGGAAAGCTTGTAAAACTTATTCCAAAGCTGCAGCACAAAGCAACTAGAGTTGCTGTGGTCTCTCTTGGGGACTGTGTCATATGGTGTGAAGTTACATCTATGCACTATTTGGGAATTCAAGCCTCACCCAAAGGAGATGATGAAAGGTTCTTACATCTCTTCCCACCTGCATTTAAAAAGCTTATTAAAAATCAAGTGCAACCTGCTGAAGTAGCTTGTTCGCTGCTATACCTTTCACACAGATGAAGAGTTTGAGTGACTACAGCAACATGTTCTTCTGGGAAGAAGAAAGAGAACATCTACAATACGGCAGGTACTCAGTTAAAAGCCGAAATGGACATCAAAGAGACAAAAAAGTGTCGAGAGTTTCCTAGATGAAGGATGCCCCTAGGCTCCCAAGTCCTCTCTCCACAACAGAAGTACTACCAACAGCACGGAGGTAAGCAAGCTTGACTCCTAGGTTTAGCTCTGTGGCTACGTAACAAGGGTGATCAGCTTGTTTGAAGCCAGCCTAGGTTAAAACTAAACGCACAAAGCATTTACGAGGCAGGAGGAGGACAGCAGCAACTGGAGCTTCCACTACGCTACCCAGCAGCAAGTTTCTCAGTCTCCCGCTTCAGCCCTTGCCTATGAATCCCACTTGGCACAGTAAATATCCATCCAGAAGCAGAGGCCACCAGTTTGTTCCACGTGCCCAGCCACAGCAGCTGCATTCAGCTGCAGGAAATTCATGACTGTTCACGTATCTCCAGGCTATCACTGTGCTATTCTACAAAACAAAAATACATTCTCCATCCAAACCACCATTTGCTCCAACTAAAACACATCCTTTAAGCCAAGCTGCAATTCAGAGCAAGAAGGTGTCACGATCAGACAGCACGTGCTCAAGGACATGACGTGTGAACACCACTCCCAGGTTTTTCAAGTTCTGCAGAAGGAAGGACAGAGACACGGGCAGTGCTTGGGAGGAAGGACGGGAGGTGAACAGCAACACTCAAAGCGAGGTTTGAAGCCTGTACCAAGCTAAGGAAAACTAGTTAGATACCATTTGTAGAAAGAGAGGGTTTACTCATAAAGAACAGGGAAAATGCCACCAAAATGAAGCTTCAAGTTAACCCAAAAAGTTACTAAAGACTTACTAGGTGAAGATTTTCATTCCTGCAGTTCCACACCTCCTGTCCCTGGCTCCCACCAAACACCTGCGCCAAACCCCACCGCCTCTTCTTCAGCCTCAACTGCAGTATCAAACCAAATGAAAGTTTCTTCTGACTTGCAGCCTGCTAACCAGGGAACTGCCCCAGTTCAGTTCCAGGTGAGGACCAGGCTGGCAGTTTGGGTGGTTCCAGGCTGCCAGGAAGTCACACACCTCACAAAGCCTCTCTCTTTCTAAGCCAGCGGAAAGGGGGGTTTATTAAACAGAAACCCGCACGATTTTGCCACTACAGTCAGTGAAAACTAAAGTGGAATGAGATGTTATTCTGCTAGCAGGCTGATTTTTTTTTCTTCCTGCCCCATTTTAGCTAGCCCACTCTGCTTAACAAAGCCCTTGTTGAGGAAGAGCAAACCCCATTATCGTGCTTTATAGGTAAAAGGGCTACTATCTCTTGGCCCTGTTTGTATCCCACTCCACTCATGCCAAAGCTCCCCATGTCTCCAAGTGCTTCCTCCAGAACACAAAAGAATTCTTATACCCAGAAGAGAAATGGTAGTCATTTTAAGGGAAGTGTCTGGAGACATACAGAATGGGAACGGGAAGAGCAAAGCATCCTGCTCTTCATATTCCACAGGTTGGCATGGGCCTGACCAGACGTGAACACAGACACGACCTTTTGCTGTTCTTTGTATCACATGAAAGCATTTTCCTTCAAGGAGGAGAAAGAAAAGCGCACAGATAATTATTTACAGGATCACCAGGCTGAAGCCTTGTCAGAGATTACAGCATTTCAGTCGCCTGACAGTGCTAGCTCTGGTGGGAAACGCAAGGAAGGGCTGCCACCAACCTGACCTTGTCCTGAGCCAAACGCATTTATCTGCCCACACAGCTTCTGATTGTGCTTTCTGCCCATTTTTATGCCAAATTACCTGGGTGGCAGTTTCAGTATCCTCCTGATCCGTACTATGCCGTTCGACAGAGCTGTTCGATGCAGGTCTAATGCTATCCGCACGCTGAAATGCAAACATCGTGACTTTAACACAGCGTGTGAAATGGCAAAACAAAAAGGAATTCTGTGAATGCATTCAAACTCTGCCCTCTGCAACATCATGTGTTATGTTCAATTTAGAAACAGATAAGTTAGCAATAAACAGAATGTACTGTGTTGAGAGAGGATCCTCTCTGCTTCCCCACCCGCAGACTCCAGATAACAGCACTATCTGATGTGCACAGAACCAGAATTCAATATTCTTATTAACAGAAACATTGTCCCCAGACTGCTTTACTGAAATTTGCTATCACTAATTAAGAACAAGGCATCGTTTTGCCGACTACTTTCTTTGCAGAAAACCTTCCTAAGTGGTACAATTCAATTATCTGTCAGCAGAGAAATCAACTGGAAATGTTCTAAAGGCTCTGCACAAAAGCGACTGAGAAGAGCTGCTTTAACTGAGTAAATATTTGTCTCTAGTCTAGCTAGGAGATTTTCAATATATTTTTGGTACATGACTGAATATACTGCATTTACAGATATTTAAACAAATAAAAAACAAATCCCAAGGCTTTTTTACTAGAATTTGGCACTATATAATGTGTTTGAGACCGTACAGACAAGCACTCCATGCATCCCGCAGTCCAACCACATCAATAAGGGGCAAGCCACAGAGCATGGGCGATAGACTCTGACTTTCCTTCATAAAGAAAATCCCCTGTATTATAAATGGATAGTGCCAAAGCACACCTGAGACCCATCCTAATACATGAAAGGGCCTGCTTCTAAGGGCCACAGCAAGGAACAGATGCGTATACCTCCATCTCACAGCACTGTGAGACGTTCCAACTGAGTCAGATGTTGCGACACGGAGATATAACATACACTAGACTGCCAAAACTGGTTTGGCCCTTCTGACTGCAACATCTTCATACAGGCAAAATCTGAAGAATAATACTGCATTAAGCTAAGCTGGATTCACCAGTGCTTCCACTGACCTCACTGCCCTCACTCACTATGAACAGGCGCAGTTCTGGGGTAAGAAGGTCAGGCGTTGTACGGTCTTAGGACTTACCTGTGTGGGGAAAGGTACCTGGATGCGTCCTTCTAAGATGTTGTCAGTGGTGATCTCTACGGACCGGGTTAGCTGCAGATCCTGTAGAACTAAATGATAAGGAACCTGAGGGAACATCTCCTGAATCTGATGGGCCTGGAGAAAAGAAGGTTTATACAGTCAGTGTCAGCAGTACACAAATATTAGCTGGTAAGTATTTCAACAGAAAGAGATGAAAGAAATAAACAGCTCAAAGGTGTTGTTTACGATACGATAACCCACAAACTGAAAGAAAGACAAGAGAAAGAAAACCCACGCTGGTATTGACATACCAGGCAATATTTTGATTCCATTGAAGCCAACAGCAAAACTGCAGCTCCTATGGAGACACCACATGTTCCTGAAAACAGTGCTTGTAGATGCACAAAGGCTTCAAAAGCTTCCCAACCCTCCTTTTGTGACAGCCTTTTCAATAGAGATCTACACAAAATTAATGAGTGACTGAAAGATCAACACCGAAAAAATAAATAAATCTCATTTTCCTTTGTCCCAGACAGGTTCCAAACTGGCACTGGTAAGGACAAGTGGAGTAAGTTTTAATAACCTACTCTCTCCAGCCACCCTGCCTACAAACCAGTTTAATAGGATCTGAAAGCTCAAGTAAATTAAACTGAGTTGTCAGATAACCATTATTATTGAATTTCAAGTTACTTAAAAAAATATCTAAATTAAACAGATAAAAGTAAGAGGGCAGACAAATAATATGCTTTTAGAGTCCAACAGCTAGACTTCATTAAATATTAAAATCTGTATTTTAACTAATGCTGAAAGTTACAGGGGTAGGGGAGAATGAGAACAACAACAGTAAGAAAACAAAGGGTGGAAGGAGTTTTGAGAGCAAAGCAAAAACTATGCACCAGCTGACACTGAGTTCAAACAGAAGCAACTATAGCAAATCTAACTCTCCATTGTATTAGCTCGTGATCAGAACAACTGTTTTATCACTGCAGCCTCTGGCCTCTCCCTCGAAATACTTCCCTAGATTTTTATTCAGTAACACAAAAGAGAATTTAACTTATTTTCTATTAAAAGTGTGTAACACTGTAGTAGTTTGCTAACCTGGGCCTTTCCATTAAAGCAGGCATTTTAATAGAAGTTTCTACTGTACTTCTAATAATACACAATGCTAAGAAATCATTCCTCATTCTTAACAAAAGCCCGTTTGTGTCACTGTGACCAGTAAAAGAAAAAAAAAGACCGACCTTAGATGGAGAGTTCCTGCATATTTAACTAGTAAATCATCTGCCAACACCTTACCACTCCCTGCCCACCCTGCCTCAAACCCCCCAAAAATGGCAGCCTTATCCTGTAGAGGCTTAAACAGTAGTGAAGGCCATGGGAGAGATCTCACACTTGGAAAATGTCCTCACTTTCATGAGGTATCTCACTGAACATTCATTAACACGCTACAGCACACAGTGGCCTTAAGAACTCAACGGAAACAGCACTTCTCAAACTAAATGAACTAAGTGTGTTTCAGGAGGCCATATTCTTCCCTTTTTGTATTACATCAGAGTGTTTATGTACGACAAACCTGGGATTTCACCCCCAACACTCTCATCATCGTGATGAATCGCCAGGAGTTGGCTGTGCCACAGAGAGCCCCACCTCACACTGACACGACACTCGAACAGGAACAGCCATCTCAGAGCTTAGTGCTCTTAAAAATCAATACTAAAAAAATCAAAAAGCTATAGAATGGGTTTGATCAGTTAGCACCTGACCAACAGCTAAATTCTCTAGTTAGACTCAGACCCTTTGCTACTGCAAGTTGAGTGAAGATAAGTACTAAAAAAAGGCTAAAGACGTTGCACTAAGCATGCTGAGAAGCCTGCCTATCTACACAGAAAGTGTATGGCATTTTTCTCCCCCATTTACCTACCTCCAGACCTGTTCTTTTATGTTTGCACATTTGAACCAACAGATAGCCCTAACTTCACTAAAACAAAGCTCCTCTCACTCAAAAAAAGTACCCTTCACGTAGCATCTAACCACTGCTTTGACTTCCTTCCCCCTTATGTTCTCCATCCACACGTACTCTTCCTTCCCCCACTATGCAAACAGGAAGGCTGAGGTGCAAACTATTAGAGCAGTCTTACCATAGCATTAAGCTGGGAGTTGCTGGCTTGTGTGATACCGAGGATGTTTGTAGTATGCATCACTTCTACTGAAAAACTGGGCAGCCAGCTGGCAATGCGAGAGCCTAAGAAAAAGAAATCACTGAGAAAATCAAGCAAGAATATGAGGTTCTCAACAGGTGAAGTACTTCTACATGTATTTAACATAAGTCTTCATATTTCCACAAGTTACATGTGAGGAGTTCTGCAGTGCAATCCATCCCTGAGGACTCCCAAACATGGGGATGGCTGGAGTAAATCAGCAACTGCTGATCCTCACTTCAAACATGGCCACAGTGGCTTAACAACCTGAGGGCCAGAAACAGATCAAAAAACCCAACACATCCTTGTTTTCTTTTTCTGATGTTTCCATTAAAGGGAAAATTAAAATAATCCAGAGCCAAATTCAGTTCTGGAATACATTAATAACCCCAGTAATTTTATTAGAAATAGGCCAGCTTCTAAACACGCTGAATCTGGTCGCAAAATGGGTCAGCTATACGTGGCTGGCGTCACTGAGAAAATATGACCACAGAGGGACACAGAGTAACTGAACAAAGTGACTGCTGCAATCATGTGCTCAGGCTCATGGCTGGCTCCCTCCTTCTGCATTTCCATTTAAGTAAACACAGCATTTGCTCTACGCCACTCCTCCTTCTCTCTCCACAGTAATTTTGCAGGTCTCCAGGCCACAAGTGAGCACTGGGGAGGACAGCTATCAAGAAAAAGAGCAGTATTGTAAATATAAATGTCCTTTGGAGACCTAAAGCACCCCAAAAGTGGGAGCCATGCAAGAAGCTATCAGCCAGTCTCAGTGTAGCTAGAAATGCCTGACTCTTCTCTGCTCATTATTCTCCTCCCACAATCTCCAAAGATTGCAAAACCAGCACAAAGAACAGGTCACTGTTTAAGTTTGCAGCCTCTCAGCTACATGATGGGAGCTCCACAAGGACAGAGCCCAAAGCTGAGCATTTCTATTAGTGAAACCTACCGAGAAGCACCAAGACTGCCATCAAAACCTGGGAACCTGCAGAAGACAGGCACACACCAATACCAAAACTATTTAAAAAAAAATAATCTGTAAGATAAGCAACAAGCTTGTCTGCACATGCAGAACTCATCATGGTCTGAAATCGTATCTGCTTTGTGAGTACTTACAACTCACCACCAAAAAAAACACCACGTAAAACTGTTCCGGTTACACAATTCCTTCTAAGAATAAGCTTCTGCAGACTTCTGCACCTAGCCAAGCCTTACAAGTTTCTTGCAAACTGAGTGGCAAATGAACTTTTGATAACCTCACACTAGCTAGGGATAGGGGAAAGATCAACTTTCAGACTGCACCACATAGGTTCCTTCCTCTTTGACTGTCACTGATTAACCAGCCACCTGGTACCAAAGTAAGACACGTGAATTTTCCATTCTGTTGATCAACAGAGCACGCAACGAGTCAATGCCAGCAGTAAAGCTGCTAACCACAAGAAATCAAGGAAAAGGGAGTACTTGTACAAAATCTTCCAGGAAATCTCTGTAGCTCTGGCCAACCTCAGAAACACTTATCTGAGCTCTTGCAAAAGAACCATTAGAAGCATAGGTATTTGACAAACACAAGTAGAGGCTCAGTTTAAATTTCTGTTGAAACATGGACAGAATTCCCCTCTACAGAAGGCTGTATCCTTCATTGATTTGGGCAACAGCATCAGATGTCAAATCTGCTCAGCTCACCATCGAAGTGGAAGAAGTGATTGTGCTGGTTCAAGCGTGGTCTGCCTTCTGCTACTGCCACGGGAACCAGGTTCTCATCCAGGTTTTCCCTTTGGTGATCCTCCCTCACGTGATGGCTGTCAGTGATATTAAGAGACATTCTGCAGGTGGGGCAAGATGTATCTTGTTCCAGCCAGGACCGCAGGCATGAGCTGACAGGAAAACAGTAGCATTATGGTGAGCTTGCAGTGTTTTTCCAAGACATCAGTATCACGAGTACATCAAGCAGCTGTAGCATATTCTGTACAGAACATCAACACGGACTGCTCAGAAATAATCTGTGAGGTACGCCTGATGAGCTCCTGGTGACTCTGGCACAGGTTTCTTATTTCCTTCAGCTGAAAATACTCAAGTGTTCACTTTTTATAAACAAGCATGCAGATTTATCACAAACTTAAACCACTTTCCAAGTTTGTTGTCCCTCTAGCTCAGAACAAATAAGTTTTGCCTGGAAGGGGAGACAAAGCATTTCTTCTCTCTCACCATCCCCAACTGAAACAGGACAAACACCAACTGGACAAGTCTTTAAAATATACTGACACATTTTCATGGCAGTTCTGCCAGTGAGATGTGGCAATGGCACTTCCACAAAGTTTTTCACATATCTTCTCAAAAACATCAATACCCAAATCACCACCAAAGCGAGTACCGCTCTGAGAACCCTCTAAGCAGGTGAATCAATACTAACCAGTGCTGTGCCATTATATGTTTACTTAATTCTGAACATTTGCCATCTTGTAAAAAGTGAGAAGTGTTTGAGATGCAGGTTTAAACACTCAGAGCTAGCACAGCTCTGAGTTTTTGATTCTGATGGATATGACCGGGTTGCAGTATTCGTCAGCATGTTAAACCTAACATTTTATTTTTCCCTTTCAGTACGGAAGAACTGAACCTCACAGAACTGAACACATCTCAATACTACAACATGTCCTTCACACTTGCAGGGTGGGGTTTTTTTCCAGGAGAAGCTCTCAAAACACTTTAGAAAAGTAGAGACATACAAAAAAGTCAAATAAACCTGTTTCCCAAATTATGGATTTGCAAATGGAGCGAAGGCACAGATCACAGGTTTGGGCTGCCAGAGCACGGAAAAAGTCCAAACTGCAGGATTATAGCAAAGTCCAGGATCCAAGCACTCTGCCCAATTCCTGAAGCTGTAGTGTATAACCGTATTGCCAAAGTGTTCTCCATCACATTTACATGGAGGGATACGCAGTGTTCAGAAATTACAGCCATGGGTTTCCCAGAAACAACCAAAGCACTACAGTAGAGATCTACCATCTCCCACCACCGTGGCCATCAGCACAGCCAGCAAGCTAGCCCTTCCGATGCCATCCAACTTCATCTCCACTACTACAGCAAAACCACCCTGCACACAGCAAGCTCAAAGCTCTGCTAGAGTTGTACTCAAAAGGTCACTTGTGAAACCCCTGGAGTGACACAAGCTACCATCATGCTGCTGCTCCTCAATGGCTCAGCCATGGAGATGCTGGAACCGACATCAACCCCCTTCAGCCTGCATCAGCACCAGGCCCTAAAGGTTTGCAGTCAGCCAGCCGTGGTTACACCTGCTTTGTGCCGCACAAGCAGAAGGGCTCAGTCACCTACAGCACCTCAGCAGAAGGATGACTAACAACAGGCCAAGGTCAACAATGCTTCAGAGCAACAACTCTTTTGAAATTGCTTCCTAAAAGATAAAGGAGAGAGTTTCAACAGAGCCTAAAAGATTCAGACACCCATTCCCATTAAACTTCCTCAATATTTAGGCACAGAGTTGACCTCAGCAATGAGTCTCCCCTGCCATCTTCTCTTCTACTCCAAATAAGTGGCTATGAAAAAAAATCCCACATAATTGAGAATGGACACAATGTTTAGCCTGTTGGCAAAATCACCAGGCTTTTATGAGGAAAGAAACCATTCTCAGGTTGTAAATAGGGTTATTAACTACATCTGGGTTTATATGCAAGCTTAAGTCATCCACTGGAACATGTTCCCTCTCTAAATGCACCAAGGAGATAAGTGTAACTTTGCTTCAGAAAAAAATACAAAAGGATCCTTTTAGACACAGAGAAAACAACTTTCTGAAGAGAAGACCCCCAGGCTTCTCAAGTGCTCAGTAGGCAATTAAATATTCATAGGATTCAGCAGCATTGGAAGAGGAATTTCTGCTACAGAGGCACATTATCTCATTAGAGACTTCTCAGAAAAGAGATAAATATTTATGGCAAGGTTTGTCATAAATGGAAACAAATTAGCACACAGATTACAACCTCTGGTTTGGCAGTTACCAGAAAAGTAAAAATCTATTTGCAGAAAGTAACTTGCTTGTGTGATGCAACAGGGACAAGTGAAGTGACCATGCACATTAATCACATGGCAGTGCAGAAACTCCTCATCCAGCCCTCGTAGCTCCTTTCTTATTTAAGCACAAGTATGAACACGAAAGCACTGCTAAAAAAGACCCAAGAAAAGGTGCATCTAGATCAGCACACTTTCTCCACAAGCATCTGCTACTATTCGGTACTGAGTGTAAGAAACTGTACACAGAGAGATTCTTTGGCCAAGAGCCTCCCAGTTCCTACTACCAGCTGCTTACAGACCCCTTCAGCTGATTTGGTTAAACTCTTTTACAGCCCTGACAGACCCACCCACCCATGAAACCATACACTCAGACCTGACCCCCACAACTGTCCTGAAGGACTCATCACCATGCAAGGACGTACTAAAAGGGAATATTCCCCATTTTCTCTTTAAAGCTGATATCTGAAAGGACTTAAGGATCTAACTAAGTGTTCTTCCTCCCATGAAAAAAATCAACACACCCTCACGGGAGAGGTGCTGCATAGGATAAAGTGAGGGGGGGGGAAGAGCATGCTTTACCAAGCAGCTACACAGCAAGGTAGGGTACAGACTTGCAACTGAGATACCACAACCAAACACTATCTACCCACCAGCTGACAAGATGCATACTCTTAGTTTGGGGGGAAAAAAGAATGCTCCTGGTGAAACAACTCAAACATCAAAATGACTGAAGTGAAAGCGGCTTGTACTTTGCTATGAGGAGCAGACCACGATGACCCAGGCAGTAAGCTTTCACAGCTGACGGGTCATTATTTGTCATCCTGCTGTAACTTTCAGACATGTCCATATATCCCTTCCCTTCTATGGTCAGGCACACCCTCTCTAGCCCCACCAACGTACTTGTGGAAGAGATGGCCGCAAGGGAGTTTCCGTGCGGACTGCATGGAGTCCCAGCAAATGGCACAGTCATCGTTATTGACTGCTAGCTCCTCTGGTGTTGCAACTGCAAACCTACAAAGAAGAAACAGACAGAAGTAATGACTGCACCCGCTCAGCATGGCCTCCTGTCTAGAGAATCCTGCACTGAGAAAACTTTATCCTCCACATTAACTTTTCCTTGGGAGAGCTGTGCCAGCAGGTTTGCTATTTTTTTCCACAATTCAGACTCAAGACTGCAAAGGAAGACACACACACTCCCGTGCCTTCTTACAGGCACATTTTTTTGCACATCTCCACATATGTCCTAAGTGCAAAAAGCTTTGACTTAGTATCTTCCAAGAAGTAGGATCATTAGGTTGAGAACCTCAAGCTATAATTTGTATAGATTTGGATTACGTCATTTTTCTAAATGAGCTGCAATAGCTGTACCCACTAAGATGTCTTCTTGGGATCATAAGCATTTATGGCCTCAGATTTTGCCAGCCCCCATTTGTCTTTATTTTTTTTTTTTATTTTTTTTTACTACAGCACCATGAAGCAGCTACTACATAGCATCCAAACACAAACAATATAAAGATGGGTGGTATAACAACATTTCACAGCACTGCTGGCATGGGATATACCCGAAAAACAACTGCACAAATGCAGGGAGCTGACTGCCATTGGCAGCTGCAGGAGGAAGCTAGAATGTGGTTCTTTCAGAACAATTAGAATGACAAAAACACATCAAGTGGCTCAGACAAGAACTCTGAGACACTTGACTCAAACAGCTTAGTGAGCAGCTTAAAGGGGTTTAGCGGCTGCATCCTACTGAAAAGAAACAATGCACTGTGGATGAACTTTATTATGCAGCTGTTAACCTGACATTACAGCCATTAAACGACTCTTCACAAAGAAAACCTTGGGAATTTCTAGAGAAGTCAGACTTCTCCATCCAGACCACAGCAGCAGGCATCAGAGCTAGTCAAACCCAGTGAAGTCCACAATAATGGTACAGCGATGCTCACTCAGAAAGAGTAAAACTCCTCGTTGCTCTTAAAATGAACGACATAGCTGAGTTATGAAAACACTGGATCAGAGATGCAGCTGCCACCGTACTAGGTTTCAGCAGGCCTCTCGATTCCTCTGTATTGCCTCACCATGGGGGGATGGACTAAAGTAATCCCAAGGTGCTCCCAGCTCCACTGCAAGTACAGCCTATTTAGAGTTGGCGTCAGGTTTAATAAATACACACTTAAAGCTGAGCATGTTTTAATTAATATTTTGATTTAATTTCAGGCTGCAACTGAATAGTATGGCTTAATGAAATTAAAATATTTTATTTCCACCACAGCCAAAGCCAACATTTGACAACAGAAGCAGGCAGAGCTCTGCAGAGCTTATGTCACCCCAGCAGGGCAGTGAGAACACAGGAGAAGAAATACTGAACAGGGGAGTTCACTTGTAATACTGTAATACTGTAATTACTTCACCAGTAATACTGCTATTAAAAAAGTCAATCCTACATATCCGTTAAAACCAGAAAGGGTGACCCCAGTAACAAATAAAATGGGTAAAAAAATACACTAAGTGTAAAGACTTAAGAGCTGGATTTGTAAGACTGCATCTCTCCAGTTTACACTATGCCATCATGTATCAAGGGAATGTGAAAGAATCCCAACTTCTTCATCAGGATCCTCTCTCCAAGACCCACATCAAGACCCCAGAGCAAATAAGAGGCTCACCTGGCTTCCATGTTTCCAACCACACGGAGGTAGTTCTTGTGCCGCCGAATTCTTCGTTGAACTTCGTGAAACAGGTAACGCAGCTGCATAAAAATCACCAGGCTCGCCATTGACAACCAGATATTGCCAAACAGCTTTGGAAAAAACAGAAAGGTGATTAGAAACAAACACCAAGGGAAACAAGAGGCTGACACAAGAAGCTGCATCAGGTCTTAAAAGAAGAAGAAATCAAGAAACCAGGACTGAAAGATTTTTCTTTTGTTGAGACCGTTCAGACTAACCACCCATGTTCACAGGTATTACTACACATTAGGTCTTCAGGTACAACTTAAGCAGTGCAGCATTTATAAGAAGGATAAACTATTCAGTCCTGTTCAGATTCATGTCCCCTGCTCCCAATTAAAACAATTCAGTCTAATATTACTCAATAACAAAGCCAATTAAATACCTATTGAACAGATAATTACACAGTAGTTAATACTCCATAACAAAGTTATTTGTGAGGACTCCAACCACATGGGAGGAAAGAATGCCAGAACCCCCCATGCCACATTTTCCTCTTTATTAAATAACTTCTCTGTCATATTTGGTTCTTAAGCAAAGCAAAAAAAATCTGAAATATGTATAAGCAGTACCCTCTAAGGCAGGTCTACTTGTTCAACCTTACATCCAGTATTTCATACCAGCATATGAATATGATGCATCAAGTCCAGCGAAAGCAAGGTTAGCTCCATGATAAAATCTGTGTAGTAGACGTAAGTGCCTTTGCCCTCCCACGTTCCTTCATGGTTGAGATCCCAGAGATGAATTATGTATCTGCAAGAGCAGGGAAATCAACATTATTCTATCTTTTTTATTCAATAGCACCTCTAGCATTCAAACTGTTTTATCCATTTTTCAAACAACTTCTGGATATGGATTCTTTGCTTTCCTATGCCCAGCATACCTACTCGGTGCTTTCCCGGGTGACTTTTTTTTAACGTTGCTGGTTTCAAACAGCAACATTTTAAAAACACAAGAAGCAATCAATGCTTAGCCCACACTGGCACTAGGTGCCAGAGGTGATGTAGCATTTGCTGAAAACTCCTGCATGTACCAATAGCCAATCTTGGGACCACAGGAACTACAGACCCGCATTTTTCAGCACAAGGTGTTTCTCAGGTGAGGCACTACAGCTTGGTGACAGACCTGAAATGCCAGTAGTGACCCGGACACAGAGGTTCTGTGCTACATGTCACGTTCTACATATGCATATGCCCATGCGTTACAGATACACAAAAATGCTTTTTTAAAGCAAAAATTCTAGAGATTAAGATCTTAAAAGAAACCCACTAGGTTGACATTAAGTAGCATGTATCAACCCTCATACAGCAGCACCAATCCATTTTAACCCATGATACTAGCACCCACAAAAGCTATCCATGTGTCACAGAATTCCTGCTTAAAAATAGTACATTCAAGTTAACCACCTTTGTCCATCTCCAGACAGGCACTTGCAATTCACCAAGGTAATTACATACACCTCTTGAATCAACATGCTATACAGACCATCTTCTTCAACAACCATCCTGCAAAACATAAGGTACTCACCGCAAAATCACATGAGCAGTTCTGACGGTCACAAGCAGTGACTGCAAAAGAGGGGAGGAAAAAAATAAAAAGGTGTGTTAGCACCATTCCGGTAGGGACAGTGGTACTGAGGCAGGAGCTGAAGGGCTGTAACAGAAAATGCATTTATTGCAGCTTATCGAGTGCCTGTGAACCACCAGTCACTGTAGACAACTGTGTGCACAAACACAAAGCTATACACATAAACATGGAAGAAATTCTCAAACACATGATGCTCGCAGAGCAGCCATGAGCATCACTTGTTAAGTCTCATTTTTTCCCCCACTATATAGGACATATTACCTTCTTCGATTCTTATCACTGAGTGTTGAGACCACAATCCCACCAAGTACCTTCAGGTGAAGGTAGCACACTTCTCCTCATCCCACTGCTCAAGAAAAAAAATCTGAAGAGCAGGAATTTGAGGAGGAGCCATGGAAGCGCTTTCAAGTAATTTTTTCCCTTTGCCGAGATGTAAACGCTGCAAAAGTAACTTCTCTCTTTAATCATACTCACCTCTCTAGGCGAAGTACAGAGAAAAAAACCGGAGCATATCAGAAAGCACAAGCAGATCAGAAGTGCAAAGACAAGTCACCAGCAAGGTCTGTTTCCAGAACACCTAACCAGAGTCCCATGGGCCCTTATCACCTACGAACTGGGGCCCCATCACCTCTCTCTAACCTGTCAGGCCCACAGTGCCTCGTCCCTTCAGGACACAACGTCCCTTCGTCCCGACAGGACAAAGCCACCTCAGAGCCTGTCCATGCTACCCTGCAGTTAGCCAGGGCCAAGTGACACCAAGATGCAGGGGATTTATAATGAGCAACTGAAACCACCTCTGTAAAACTGGTCTGATGGCATGCCTTCAGCATCAGTACCATAAACAGTACAGAAGAGGCACCGACACCACCAACTTCCCAATACAGCAATAAACAGGTGGTTTGAATAATTTTTTTACACCTGTAAAAAAGCGTTCTTAAAATGCCGTTATGCATATTTCACTCTTAGCAACGTATCTGCCAACTGTTTACCAGTTGGCTTTAAAATAATAAATAGTGACTATTTAGACACCAGGACAAACTTTTCTCCAAATAAGGGCTTCAGGATAAGATCCACGCATCATTCAAATAAGATTAGGAAAAGTCAAGAAGGTAGCAGCAAGTCACCTAGCACGGTGTGCCATTCTCATCACAAACATCTTTCATAACAAAGTTAAATTAGCACACAAGCTGCTCCTGCAAGGCACGTTATACGAACCTCTTCTGTCTCCTGTTGCCCCACATGTGGGTACCAGAAAGAGACTACACCTTGTTCACAGGGCCTCTTCAGCTATGGAGAAGCTTTGAGCAGATCAGAGAAAAAGTAAATACTAGTAAATTCTAACCATGCAACTGAGGAAACAGAACAATTACCTGAACTGCTGGATGGATATGCCACTGAGCATGAATTTGTATCAAAAACAGTACATGTGGCATAAAGTCTCTGATAAGGAAGACATCTGTCAGGTGGAAATCTGAAGAGTCCAGTCTTTGCAACTTTTAAGAAGTTAAAATGTAAGTCAGCACTTGGAACCTGTGGAATTTCAATACTTCCCTTTCATCCACCATTTTGTTGCCAAGACATTACTTATACTGGTTAGTGCCCAGGCAGCAACAGCAGCAAAATTATAAGGATGAGCTGGTGCAGATTTGGTCAAAGCACTGGTCTCCGGCTCCTCCACTGTTTCCAGAAATGCATTTCAATGCTCTGACATGAGAAATACTTTGCAGGAAAGTACAGCATTGCATCACAAGTTACACAACTGTGCCACCTGAGGTGCTAAACGGACAGAAAGACACTTTCAGCAGTGACACCTCAAGAGCTCTTGCTCTGCTCCGCTACACACGCACTGATCCCCCACAGACTCCGTGACACTGGCAGATCCTAATTAGCGTGCGACTGGAAGGCACTCAAACCCTAAGGCAACAGATGCGGCATGAGAAGCTGTACAGGAAAACACAGTATTATCTGTAAGGTACAATCCTAAGATTTGAATATCACTATCATTAAATGGCCTTAACGGAGGTGTATGAAACAGGATCGGGGGGTGGCTGATATAAGAATGGAGTGATTCCTTCCTACAACAAAAAAGCTGCAGACACAGACTGGACATTACTTGCTAAACTATAATTCTCAAAACACCATACGTTGAGGCAAAAAACCTTACTGTTTACTCAAAAATACAGACTGTTCTTATTCAGCCTTCTCTGGGCATTTGCACATTTCACATCCATGCTTTGCAGGAAAAGAAATGCTGACAAACGACACAGAACAAGAGGAAGCCTAACTAAAACCCAAGAAAAACATCTACAGTCCTTTATTGAAGCGCCTGAGGCACCAAGCTAAATCAATGTTTGCAGAGTCAGGAGAGAGACGAATAGCTTAATGTAACAATATAATTAAATACACACTACTGGAATAGACTCAGCAGGGTCCCTCTCGAACAGCATCACACAAGCCACCACCAGGAAAACATTTCAGTCTACAAGATTTAATGCCTTTTGCTGAGAGCTTGAGAACTGCCATGAGGTGTCACTGCTGGGACCTGTACGGAAAGAATCCTACATGTTTTATTCCACGTACACAAGTGCTGGGTATTAAAACCAAGAAAACTAACTCATGGTCACCCAATCCATATAGGGCATATTTAAAGGGTTCAGGAAAGAGCGAGATATTATACAATCTCGTGTGAGGAAAGATTAAACAGACTAGAATTCTTTTGTTTGGAAGGAAAGTCAGAAAGGGAGCAGGAGAAAGGTCTATAAAACCACAAATTGTGGAAGAAGAGTAAACAGGGAATGATTCTTTGCGGTTTCTCACCATAAATAGATGATAGCCAGGGACATTATCAGGCAGAAGATTCAGAACAACTGAAAGACCTCTTTTGTGTACACAAAGCCGAGTTAAACGTTGAATTTGTTGCCTTTGGATATTCGGAGGCCAAAGTATAAATGAGTTCAATAAACGATCACACAACTTTGCAGAGTCCATCTGAGGCTATCAAACACAACGGGCTTGTGCAACCCTCAGCTCAAGAACGTCCTCAAACACCAGCTGCTGCAAACACGGGTAGGAGACCCCTTCCTACACCTTCCCCCCAGCCCCCCTCCGCTGCCCACCAGCAGCGCAGCAGGCTGTACGGATCCCTGCCTTGGCTGAGGACCGTACACTCGCGCTGCCTGAGCCACTCCTTTGTTAATAAGCAGACAGAACAGCTCCCACTGAAATAAACAGCTGGGCCTCATCCTGCAACCCAAACACATACATAAGCACACGGCGCAGCGCTAACGAGGCAACACGTCAGCACTGTAAGACTCCCTGATAAACCTACCCCAGGCTGGTGCAAGGATGATAGATCCTTCTGCCAGGCCAAGATAAGGGACCCAACACCAGCAAGACCCCACCTGCTAGAGACACCCAAAAATCCTCAATGCCCTTCCACCCTGTCATTACAAATCTGGCCTTGCAGCGTATTGTCGTATTTAAGGAAAAGTAAACCGATATATAAAATAACGGAACTGTGGTGTGACCAGTATAAGCTGACTGTTTTCCTTCCTCCTTAATAACTCCAAGTATGAATTCCAGATAGCAGAGAAGAAAAATAAACCGTACATGCTACTTGTTATCTGAACTAAGGATGTGCTAACATGACTTAATTGCAATTACACTGGCTAGCTCCCCTGTGTTTAAGATTATCACTTCCTCAGGCAGAGTGCAACAACCCACCATAACATCCAAAACATACTGATGTTTGCTCCACAAACATATCAATGTTTACTCCACACTGCAAAGGGTTCAGGAGTGCACAAACCTGAGCTGGTCATCTCAGCTGAGACGCATCTTTTTGCACAAACATAAGCAAATCCCATGAGCATGCCTTAAGGAAAGGATGTTAGTCTCATTCCTTTTGGGAGGAATGAAACAGAAAATACAACCTCAAAGACACAGGCTGAGGTGCACATTACACTTTCATATATACTCTCTCCCTCTCACTAGCGGCCATTTCAACCAACCCTTCTTGAAACGCTCATGAAGCACAACCATTATTTTTTCATAGGCTGCCATCTGATTTCAGCATCATCTTAGGGATTTATCCTCTCATTCTCTTCTTCAGACAAAGATTTTTTTGCAGGCTTAAACTCTAAAAAGCACGCAGATCTGGCAACTACTCTAAAAGAGGGGAGGGCTTGTTTGTGTGTTTGGAGTTTCTTCCTTGTGGGCAACGAAAAGGAAACCCACCACGCGCCAAGATACCCCCAAGTGAGGGTGAAAAGCAAAGCAGAAACCACAACACGAACGAAGGAGGTCTCACCTCTGCTGCCATGAACGCCAATGTGTGCATGCCGTGGGTGTAGCCGACAATACCACAGACAACTGCTAATCCACAGCAGGAGAGGAGCATGGCGATGAGCAGGGTCAGCACTCTGATGTGACTGCTCATGGGCGTGGTAGGAGAAAAGGAAAGCTGCAACACAAACACACAACAGGTTTAAAGGAGTACTTCATCCACCCTGCCTTCCATAGTCACCTCATCGAACAAGTCCTCATTCAGGAAAATTTTTTGCTTTCTAAAATAAAAACAATTTCACGGCCTCAACCACGCAATGCAGTAACAAATGACGCAGAATAAAGCTAAAAAACATGCTATCCCAAAGTCTTGTTCATCTCGCTGTCATTTACATTCTCCAGGCTCTTAAAGCCAGAAGGGATCATTGTAATTATTTGATCTAACGCTTAGATCATCTGTGCAAGAAAACCACAGGCACCTTCTCATACGGCAGTTTCTACATCAAATCCACAGCATCTGCTTAGGATGAACATGTGTTTTAGAAAGACACCTACCCTTCACATCCAGCCTTCAAGCCATGAGAATAATTGTTCTGACAATTTTTCACCTTACAGCTGACCTATATTTGTCCAGCTTTATCTTCCAGCCTCTAGCTCTTCCAATGTCATCTTCTTCTGGAAGAAAGAAACATCTCCCCCAAAAATTTAACTTGCAGCTAGAGGCTACTGGACAGAACCTACTGAAAATAGCTGTCCTGTTCAATAGCATATATAGTGTTTAAATTCTCTAAACAACCTTAACAGTAGGATACACCTAGGCTGTCTAAGTCAAAGACAACCCAAGAGGCAAAGTATGTAGGCAGCCCGTCCCCTTATTTCCAGGGCAGGAAGGAGAAGAACAGGACAAGGAAAGAAGGAGTTGCCCAAAGCTTCACTCTGGTCCAACTGATGAAGTTGACACCCATGTTTCGTTTTTATATTGGTTCTTTCTTCCTTGTTCATATCTGGTTCAGTTCCACATCCCCCTGAGTTTGCAAGGCAGATCACACAAGTACCATTTGTCCAAGTACAGAATTACGATACATGCTTTGAATGCAGAAGGAATATAATACGGATTTCTTCCCACATGAGCTCTGTTCTCTCACAGCTTTCTGAACAACACTAAAAATACCAGAGGACTGCCTTGTTCACTTCTGTCTCAATTTTCCTAACCCCAAGCAATCTCGTTTCAAGCTTAGTGCTTAGCTACTTGTGAATTAACAGGCCTTACTGGGTATTAATTAAAAAAAAAAAAAAAAAAAGCACAGAGTCACCAAAAATATATTAATGGATTAAATTTAGTTCAAACTTTTACTCCGGGACAGAGGAGCTGAGGAGAAAGCATATCCATTACATATATTTAAAGGGCAAAATTTACTGTTCAAATTCCAGTTCCTTCTTCCTTGCCTAGTCTTCAATTTCTGCATGTCTACTGAATTTATTCTTGGTGTTAACAGAAGCTGAGATGTAGCTTACAGAGAAACCTGCACTGCATACTGAACTGCAATGTCAAGACATAGGCAGTCAACATTTGGCAGATGTAAATGAGCTTGAAACCTGAGCACTGAATCCACAGAAACAGGTTTCATGGACCAACCCTAAAGGGCATCAATCTAAGAGATGTTCTGTTATCAAGATTTCTTCACTAGGGCATGCTATGAAGACACCTCACAGAGTTATGTAATAGTAATTACAGGGGCACATATAAGGAGCAATTTATTGAAGGAAATAAGTACCTTCAGCTCCATTTGTCTGATGGGAAAACTGAAGGAGTAAGACTGACGCTGCACTTTAAAGCAAGCATTCAAAGCTACTGGGAGTTGCACGTGTTCAGCACTGCAGGGCGGGGATAAGGTCTAAACGATCTGTTTGTAACCTATCATGAGCTAGTGCCTGAACCAGAAATGGAATTTACATGTCCCAAAAGACAGCCCTTAATCCAAACTTACATATTCGAAACGATCCTTGCAGAGCTGAACCATAAGATGAAGAAACACAAGTCCAGAGAACCAGAGGCACCACATCACCACTTCTTCCACTGTCTGAACATTGAGCACACCAAAAATGAAGATGAACTTGTAGAAGATGAAATTCCAGAATTTATCCTTGAGATGCTGTAAAGGAAGACATTTGGTTACTGCAATGAAAGCACTGGCAATCCACTTGCAGGGGAGACAGGGAGGGAAAAAGAAATTAAAAAAAAAGATAGAAGTAGAAATGTGACAACACCTGCTGCATACACATCTTGAATAGTATTTGTCACCCTTACTGAATTAAAAACACAGTAGAAATATTAGTGGTCCTTAGCATCTGTCCAGCCTTCTGTACCACAGCAGCATAACTGTGCAACACAGCGCATAGGTTTCTGCCATGGTTCTAAAACAGTACTTAGCACAGACCACGTTTGGTCCCAGTTAGATTCCCCATGCCCAAGCAGGACAGCCACTGTGTCCTCTTTGCAACGAGAACGGCCACGGTCAGTTAGACAAGGTGCCCGAACAGCCTAGCACCTTGTTTCCAAAAACCTGTCCGAAAGTACAGATGACTAAGAAATGATGACAAAGTCTGATTGCAAAAAACCACAATGCCTACAGTGGAGAATGAGATGGATGAGTAATGACAAAAAAAATTATTCCCACGCACATGCAGTATGAAAGAAACAATATGATGGTCCCAAGCAGCAGATAGCATGCCAGCTTGTTAGGGATAAAAAAAAATATGAAATAAAATATTTTGTTAAAGAACACGATGAAATCACCAGGAGTTTAGTTAAGACAGGCACAGAATTCCTGCACGATGCTGCCATTTTTGGCTTGCCAATATTAATAATCAGCTTCCCTTAACGTGAGAACTGAAGTATGCTCCCGCTGTCCAGATACACATGGATCCACACTGGTACTGCTTTTCACTTCAGTTTTTAAGAGGGTAGAGAACATCCTGGAAACTATCACTGGTTAAAATTCCACATCCTTAATAGTCAACATGGACTGGAAAGAAAATCAGGCCCACTGCCGTCTGACAGAGCCTTCACTCAGAGGCTCTATGGGATATGGATCTCACAGGCTTTGCCAGATCCACGGCTGCTAATGAAGCTTTGCATGTGTCAGTTCTGCATGTCAAAAAAACTCATTTTTCCTAAAGAACTATATTGACACATTTTTTTTTTAAATATATGAACACACCTCAAACCTCTGTCACTGCATTTACACAGAGCAACTTATGCATTTGCCTTTTTTTAAAAAAAAATACAGAGACACTATTCAAACCACTGCTGCTGCTTTCATCTGTGGCAGGATCCTATTTCCAAAAAGCCTGGGCTTTAATAGTCCACTCACTGAACTTTTAAAAACATTCCCACCTAGCCCAAGAGAAGGACTAAACAGCTTGGGTCTTCAGCCCTGCTCACCTCCTTTCTCTGGGCATACGCCTGCCTACTCCCTCCTAAACCTGCGGGTAGGCAAACCATCTGCTCGGTATCCGAGGACGGAAAGCACATCTCCAGCAGCCAAGCCACAAAACAAGGCACAAGAGGGGTCTCAGACTGCCAATGCTGATAACTAACCATGAAACGCAATGGAGAAATGCTGCCAAATGCAAGCCCAACAGAGAAGAATACTTTGGAAATATTCTGAAACGAGGGTGCACTTGTAAGAAATCTGACAAAGTTCATTAAGGAAGCAGGATTTTCAAGTCAACCGTGGGCTCATAAAATACAATAGCAACAGTGAGAAAGAAAAGTTCCCCTCAGAAATAAACTGGAAGCTTGTGGCTGTGGATATCCTAGCTAACCATGAAGGGTTTCCTGGGCAGATCCTTTTCTATACAGTTTCATTGGACAATATTTCAAAAGTGAGAAGTCCAAATGGTAAAATTTAATTTCTTCTCAAATTCACTTTTCTTGTGTACTTTCAGCAATTCCACTTAGAAAACCACACCAGTCGTACACCAAGAAATTGTGAAACGCCACAGGCATCCACGGCAACAAATGGGTCTTACCTGTCTCTCACTGACGCGAAGAGGACCAAACACCATACACTGGATTAGCTTAGCAACCAACATCAGAAAACAGCAGGCAGTGTTCACTAGTACCTGGAAAGAAATAAAGCTGTCAGCAACAAATACTTTTGCCCTGCTTAGAAGGAGGGAGAGAGAGAAGTGGAATGAATGACTAACAAAACCTACCATTGTTCACAGAACAGTATCAGTTACCTTTTTTGTTTTTTGGTGAAACTTAAGCCTGGCCTCTTCCAAGACACATACAGCAGCTGATAAGTCACTTAACTGTTTTCTAGAAATACTGACATGGTCAGTTTGATACACCAGTATATCCAAGAAACAAATCGACCTCTTCATAATATATTTTTTTTTCTAGATTAGCAAATCTTAGCACCAAGGAACATGCGGACAAAACTTACAGATCACCGAGACGCACATTTTGTTTAAGCTAAGGCAGATAAGAAAACTCCAGTTTGTGGTTTCTGGAACAAAATTCAGACAGCTGTCTTGAAACATACTGAACAGGGACACCCCTTCTGCTACAACACTGCTTAAATTCTCCTCAGGAAAGTGCTTTAAACCAGAGCAGCAAGGAGCAGAATACACAGGCCTGGGAAAACTGCTGCTCACGTTTGACCAAGACACTTATAATTAACTTTTGACCTCTGCAGAACACTAAAAAGAGGAGGTGGGTGTGATGAAGCAGCCTCACCCTCTCATTTCTAAAGGACATACAATAATATTTTCCAGGGCTCTCAAATGTAAGGTCCCAGAACCAAGTTCCGACAGGGTGAATGTGCCCAGTATATTAAAAACCAGTGCCCCAGTCAAGCAGGCAGGTTGTAAAGCAGATATCCAGTGAATACCACCTTTGACTGACAGACACGGGAAAGCTCACCAGCAACAGCTCAGACAGGTTTCTGATCTCCCCTTTCCTTCAGCTACAGAAATTACTGAGCCAAGATTTGTATCCCATCGCCAGTTTGGCTTTCAAGAACTACACTAAATTCTTTTCCTTTCTTTCTCAAACGCTGAGAACGCCTCCTCTTACCTGCATGTCTTTAAATGGGTATTTTTAAAAAAGAACAGCTGGGGCTTGAGCCCCCCGCGGAGCCTCACGCCCGTCCCCAGCCGAGCAGCACACGCCGTACCCCGAGCACCGCAGCCTCCCGAGCCCCAGGGACAGGCTCCAGCACCGAGCCCAGCCTTG